TTTTCACTTCCCGCGACCTTGTTCCTTCCCACATCCTTCACCGATGCTAATGGGCGTCAAAGTCCTCGCATTTCCCACCTCCTTATTTTACTCCCTCGACGAGCCGATGTGTACGCTACGAAGACGGCTATCACCCACCTTTCTCTCTTCTCGTCTCGGGCATCACGGGCATCTTGGGCGTCGGCACGAACACCGTTTTCACGACTGACGTCCGAAGCGTTTCCCCATCCCACAAAACTCTCAAATATCGGACCGAAAATGAGAGAAACAGATCGTTATCGCACACTGCAGCGCAAGGTCATGAAAGAATCCTTTTTCGGTCGACAAAGTCCAGGAAATTTCTCTCCGTCGTAATTCCTCTCTATGGAAGGTATTGTATTCTCTGTTTGTGGAATTCCCATGTCATCCACAGAGGGGTATGCTGAAAGGAGAGAGAACGAGAGAAAAAAAAACTTGCCCTTTCTTCCTCCATTCTTTCTCACTTGAATAGGAGGCACATATGGTAGGGGGGAAAATGTTCCATCAAATGGGGAGAATGGTTTATATGAGGAAAGGCGTAGGTAAAAAGAATTCAAATAGCCTTCGTAATTTTTCGAGCCCCATCAGACGAATCATAAATGCGCATCTTCGTGAAGTTTCAGAGTTGCACGAGCTGAGACGGCAAGAAAAGCAGAGATGCTTCACCTCATCGCATCTAATGGTTACTTAACGACCGAGTTTCCTCCCGATGCTGCGCGTCAGTGACGAAGCTCATTCGATCTCCATAGATTAATCGCCACAACATGCGTTTCTGGGCCAGTGTGGACTCGCGTGTCCCGGGAATCTCTCAGAAGCGTGGGAAGTGTGCAGAAGTGTGGCCGCAGTCCGGTGTGCCTTAGGGACCTCGACGAAAAGTCGAGGACCCTAAGGCCCAAATCTAACGATCTAATCTAATGATCTAAGGACCAAAGCTAACACGGCATCTCTGTGACTCTCGTGAGAAACTCTCACGATTCTGGATATTTTATATTATATAAATGCTGAATCTGAACGAACAGTTGCCGCATCCAAACCTCTGACCCGAAAACAAGTAAGAGCCCACCCCCCTCCCCCCCCCCCTTCCACCCCTCCTTCCACATAGAGTTACCGTGAACCTCAGGCAGCATGACTTTCAACTCCCCTTGTCGTTTACCCTCGAGAACTCGAGAACGGCCGCAACATTCTTTCGACACGTCTCATCTGGATAATTTTCTACAGAGGATTGTTAAGAAGCGGGGGCATCAGCGGATGCTCCAATTTTCGCGCGGTTGCCCGATTTCCTCATTTCATTCTCAGACCTCGATCCAGACCGTAAACGAACGCTAACGTTATGTAAACGCCAAACGATACAGTTTCTGGGTAGAGGTAGGGCTCACGACTCGTACTTCTAAAGACAAGCCCATTTACCGTTGCCGTCTGTTTTCTTCCCGGCAACCATCTATTTATCCAGTGAATCACCATACATGGTAGTCATGGTAATCCCAAGAACCGTTAATTATGCACGTAATCTCCCGTGAAAAATAATATCGACAACTTAAGTTAAGTCTAAATATAGGTTGTCGAAGGTTTTCCACTATTCATCGCATTCGTAATCCTCTCATTGCCGAAAAAAAGTTCGACCAAGAAGGTGATGGGCAACCTTGAATGAATTCGGCGCACAAGCTTGCAGCAGTTTGTCACGAAATCGATTAGAATTTCGAGGTCGTATGATACATATTCGTGGTGTTAACTTGTGAAACACTCAAATTTAAATGTGGGCACGGAGGGGGGAGGGGAAGAAGGGCCGTACTAACCGCCCAAAGCGATTACCCAGGAGGAGTCTATCGATGCAAATTTGGAAAGAGCTCCTCAAGACGTGTAGGAAAATTAAGCAAAGTTTCGTCACGGGGTGAGGCGAGACAGAAGATTTCCGAAACACCCAAGGTATCGAGAAGAGTGCGGCGACATTGACGACAGTTCTTTACTTTTTCTCTCAAGCCCTTTTGCCTGCAGACGATCGTCGAGTGTCAATCTGGAAAACCATACCGAGACAAAGTTTCCGAAGGCAAAGTCGTGAGAACTATACCTTAGAGAGCCCAGGGGCAATTCTCATTTCACTGGAAGATTTAGAAAAAACTGTGCTCATTGTCATAGGTCATATCCTATTTCATTGTTCTTCAGCAAAAATCATGAGCAAGGGATAGGAGTTTGTTTTGAGACACATTTTTAGCTGGGTTTTCACTATTGAATTTGCTCATGTGGGGAGACTTTGCTCATTTGGGAAGGGTTTCAGTCAGACACCCCACAAAGTCCCAAATTGCAGCAAAAGCTTAATTTGTCATACTCACGCCCTCTTCCTTTCACTTCTGCTTTCCAAGAAATACAGACAAAAGAAAGACAGGGTTCGACAGGTTTAAAATTAACTCATGCCGAGTGACCTCGATGGCAAAATTCAAACATCAGGTCGGTGAAATGAGGACGCCACCTCTTAAAGACGTGCGAGGACTCCCGGACAGTGGCGTATTTTGGCCGAAAAGGCAGGAGGGCAGGGCAACAGAGCGGGGACGCTAAACCACACCCGAACGATAAAAGAGGAGAAAAATACATTGAGTGTCAGTCGAAGTGGATATGTTATATTTTCTCGTTTAAAAGGAATTTGGATGCATTATTTTGAGTTGAAATAAATGGCAGGCAATTAACTTAAACTTATAATTATTATTATTATTATTTTTATTTATTAATACAATTCTACAGAATCGTAAATTAAGAACATTTCTTCTGTCTTGACACATTTTAATAACAGCCCAGCAAACAATTTTAAACACATAACATTGAATCAACATTGAATCAATATTGAATAAACGTTCGGAACGTTGATACAACGTTGGTTCAACCTAGCCTTGTTTGCTGGGAAATAACAGCAGAATTCTTCAATTACCGAAAATACAAATATCCACTTCAATTGAGGCGCAGTGTAAAATCTCCAAGGGGGCACCAAGCCCAGTCTCAGGTGCGCCAGGGGCAGGTCCCCCCCTCCCCCTCTACCCTACGTAAAACACGCCACCGCTCCCGAATATACTAGCATGGAATATGATCCCTTAGGGAGAGCTTTACATACTCTGAATGTCTGAGATTGACAAGCCTGTAATTCCATGGATTGCTCTTATCCCCTTCAGAAGGATCGGCACGAAGTTGGCAAATATCCAATTGCTTGCCGGTTCCCTACGCAAACTACTTGTTCTCACTATGATCGCAATTCCTTGACCGAGTTTCTTGATTTTGGCTTCCTTATGCAAGCTATAATCTCTTACTCTGTAATGACGATGTCTTCGATGCGCACGATTGTTACCTTAGTCGTTGTCAGTAAGTTAGGATTCAATGTTCACAGTTTCAGTCAGGACGCAAATATGAATTCTGCCCTTATTGACATACCGAGTCGATCGGATTCACTTGTATAAACCAGTGGCGTAGCGATAGGAAGGCTGGAGGGGGGGGGGGGGGGGGGGGGGGGGGGGGGGGGGGGGGGGGGGGGGGGGGGGGGGGGGGGGAGGGG